AAAAAAAAAAAAAAAAAAAAAAAGCGGGACATTGTTGTCTCAGCGTTTAACCGGCGATAAAGACGAAGAGTTGAAAGGAGCAATTATTCGGACAAGCTCTGTACTCAGGAGAACAGTTTCGAGAAAAACGATGAGGGGTTATAAAGATGACGCTTGTACGAAAATTGTTTTGCGGAGATTGATGCATAGTGTAGTTTGTTTGTTCAAGAAAGGATTATACTTGAAAAAGTTTAAGGGTTGATTGTTTATGGATTAATTTACTCAATGAATTCGAGTCCTGGGAATGCAGCAGTGTTAAAACTCTTGAGGGAGACTTTGCCGCCTTTGTGGTCCTACCCGGCTCGATTCCGAATTAGTCTGTTCCCCTGTGAATCTGGAAACCGGAAGGTCCATGTACCAAAAAAGAAAAAAAAATTATTTACTTTTATTTCAACTCAAAATTTAACTCAACCACACTATCTTTAATATTATTCATATAATTAAATAATACAAATCAATCATTCTTACACATCACATCAACTTTAAATTCACTATTCATCCACTCACATATTTTTAACTACTTATCATTTCCAATCATTTCCAATCATTTATCTCTTACTTTTATATCAAATCAATTTTAAACATTTTATTTTAAATATTATTTTAATATATTCATAAAATTCCACTAACACACTATGGTTAACCAAAATAACTCATTTTGAACAAATTATTTCATAAACAGTCAAGCCCTTAATTTTCGCTTCACGTCTCGGCTGCAAACGAGCCGAGCCGAGTCGAGCATTGGCCTGATCGAGCAGGATTGAGGTTTTTTTTTAGTTGCTCGAGCTCAAGCTCGATTTTTTAGGCTCGAGCTCGACTCGATAGAAAGTTACAGCTCGTGTTCGGCTCGAAATTTTTTAAGTAAAAAGTAAAATTATCATTAAGCACCTATGCTAATATATATAATAAGGGGTATTTTAGTAATTTAACGTGTATCTCAAGCCGTTCGACGAGTCACTCGACAAGGCAAAATATGAGCTCGAGCTCGACTCGAGTTTGGTCAAACTCGAGCTCGAGTCGAGCTTTGACTCGCGAGCAGCTCGATTCCTTTGCAGCCGTAGTCATCACACGTGTGTCTTCACTCTTCAATAAAGAATGTGTAAACACATTTCAAAGCACAACTATCTTGAAGTGGCAGAAAGCATATTTTTTTTTTCCTCCCAATTTTAT